TCTCTATCTATCTGTCTGTCTATCTATGTCTATCTGTCTACCTATCTATCTCCGTCTCCCTCTTCTCTCTCTCTCGCCCTCTTCTCTCTCTCTCTCTCTATTTCTCTCTCATTCTCTCTCCCTCCCTCCCACCTCCCTCTCCCTCTGATTGTCTGCCTCTCTCTCTCTCTATCTATCTATCTATCTATCTAAAAAAAAAAAATGGGTGAGGTTTATTCACCGATCGCCGTATATGTCGAAGGAAATCAGATCTGTATTTAAATACCTTTGTAATACAACATTGTCATCATCATTATCAGTAGCATTATTGTTCTCTTTTTGCAGCCTTTGCATAATTGGCGACTCCGGCGACACGCGATTTCTTATTATATTAAAATGTAATTGTTATGGAAACATTTTTATAGATCGCCGAAGCCAATGAACAAGCGAGGATTCGGAAAAGGCTTTTTCATCTTCTGCGATAACAGCTGTTCTTCATTTGCTTGATTAACTTCCTTTTTTTCCTTTTCTAGTTTCAGCTTTTTGATACAGTGATGTTCATCATTCTCTCTTTCTGTCTTCCTCGATGCCTGTCTTTGTCTCTCTTTGTTCATCCCTCATTCTGCCTGTCTGTCTGTCTCTGTCTCTGTCTCTCTCTCTGCATTTGCATCTGTGTTTCTGTCTTCCTTTCCCTCTTCATCTATCTCTCCGTCCCCTTCTCCCCTCCTCTCTATTTCTCGCTGTCTTCCCCTCCCCCTCATAAATGATAGATGTGAGGAGAAAGAGAGAAAGAGAGAGACATGTATGCAACATGATTCGTTCGGTTAAGGGCAAGGGAACTGATCCTGACTGCGACTTCATATCTGAACTTCAGAAAAAAAAAGCAGAAAGTAGAGCTAAGATCAAGAAAGTGTGAGAGAGAGTCTATGTAATATTCCTATTTTGTTGCCTTGCTTTATTTCCATACACCTTCACTCGGGGCATTTCTCTAAGAAGAAATAACTCTCCCAGAAAGGCTCGCTCGCCGCCCGAAGCAGCCAGCCTCTGGACGCCAAGGCCCGCCCTCCAAGCCCCCACCCCATCCCCCCTCCCGCGACAGGGACTCGCTCCCATAACAGCTGGAGGGCGTCGGCGACTTGCACCACTAATCGAAAAGGAACAAGACTGATAAATCGTGCAATTTCTTATTCATATCAACCATATTTACAGATAATGCATCCCAGGCTCTCTCTTTTTCCCTTCTCCCCGACCCCCCCCCTCTCTCTCTGTCTGATGATGGCATTACTAATAGTAACAATAATGATAATAATAATAATTATCATAAAATGGTAATGAGGATGAGGATGATAATAACATTGATAATAATAGTGATGATAATATTGAAAATGAGGATAATAAAGATGATATTAGTGATGACAATATTAAAAAAGATGATAATAGTGATGATAATATTGAAAATGAGGATAATAAAGATGATAATCTTGAAAATGATGATAATAGTGATGATAATATTGAAAATGATGATAATAGTGATGATAGTAAAGAAAATTATAATAAAAAGTAACAATGATAATAATGATAAAAAATAATAATAATGATAAAAGCAACAATGATAATGATGGAAACAATAATAATAATGATAATAATCATTATGATCATGACAGTGATGACGGTGATGAATGGTACAAACAATAATAGTAATAATGATAATGATAATGCAAAAAGAAGAGAAAAGCAAAATGAGCATGCTTATATTTCAAATCAATCTAATCCATAAAAAACATTTGAGATATGAGATAAATCTTCGACATGTCCGTGCATGTGTTGTGAAAAATTGAAATCATTAATGAACCTCGCTCCTCGCTTAGCACGACGGTCTCTAAAACCGATTCCCGGCGGACGCTATATATATATATATTATATATATATATATATATATATATATATATAATATATTATATATATATATATATATAATATACACATTTTCTTTTTTCTTTTTGTGATCTTTTCCTTGGCATATAGGCATGACTTGCAATCTATAACACAAGTTCCCACAAAGAATAAATCTATAAAATCAATTTCAAACAGAAGCATGATCAGCCGTGGAATAGCGATCGCTTGCGGTGCAACGCTCAAATTGTTTACCATCACTTCTAATAGTTTGTAAGAGAGAGAGAGAGACAGAGACAGACAGAGAGAGAAAGAGAGAGAGAGAGAGAGAGAGAGAGAGAGAGAGAGAGAGAGAGAGAGAGAGAGAGAGAGAGGGAGGGGAGGAGGGAGGAAGGAAAGAGAGAGAGAGAGGAAGGAGAGAGAGAGAGAATGAAGTACCGTTTTAACTAGTAATTACCTCCTGGCTTTTGCCAAGGAAATTTGTTTCTTGTTTCCAATTATTTGTCTATACTGATTGAAAGAACGTTATGGCAATGGATTGGTATCCGCCATAGGCTGGTGTCAATCATTTGTTTAAGGAGCTTTTGGGTGTGGGTCTGAGTGCCCACAGGTATGGCTGGTGCGTTGTATTTGGCAACAATGAGACTTATGTGTAATATGGCTTGGATTTTTGGGTTTGTGTTCGGTGTGAGAGTGCTTGTTGGGGGTTGTGTGGGCAGAGTTGTCCGAGGGGAAGTCGTGGGTCGTCTGGGTGTACTGGTCTGAGCAGGTCGTGTAGCAGCTGTTGTTGCGTAGGAAGGTACAGTGTTGTTGTCTTGGCGGAGCTCAGCTCGTTTTGCCTTAAGTATTTCCTTCCGTTTAGGGCAGGATCCACTAACTGCGACATGCGATCCCTCGCAGTTGCAGCATTTGATGCTTTCAGTGCACCTGGCGAAGAAGTGACCGTCGCCGGCGCACCGAGAGCATCTCTGGGGGTGTGTACATTGGTGTTTCTTGAGGTGAAATCTGTAGCAGTTAAGGCATTGGTCTATGTGAATAAAACATTCGGGTTCCAAGTTGTAGGTGGGGACCGATGTATTAAACATCATGAGTCCCCGAGAGAGAAGTTTCTGGGCTTCCTCGGGGGATGAGACGCGAATCTTGACGATTCGCGACTCGGGTGGCTTGTAGACGTCGAGAACAGTGACACCGTTCTTGACGGAAACCTCCTGGCAGATGGACTCGCACGATCGTGGGGGGATCGTCTTGTCGATCTTTTTGGCCACGATCGTACATTTAGCCTTCATCTCGGGGGAGGGAACAGGTGAGAAGCCGTGATCTTTTAACTTTCTTTGGCCGTCGGCCAAAAGAAATGGGGTCAGGTGTTCAGGTTTGGCAACTGTCACCTTGAAGCCATTGTGGACCTTAAAGAGGTGTGTGACTGCCACCTCAGTGATAATGAAGATATTCTGGAGAGCCTCCTCGCAAGAGATAGGCTCCCCAGAATACGCTAATTTGATAACGTGACCCATAGGGTTACGCCATAGCGAGGGTGATGGATGATGGGTAGAGGGGAGGCTAGCAGAGCTAATTCAACTGGACGATGAAAGGGCGGAAATGGTATCAAAAAACGGTGAAGCACACAGGGTAGCCAACAGTCTCTATATGGGAAGGCCGGTCGGGGTCGGAACCCTGCCGAACGAGCGTGAGCCCTTATGTGTTCGGCCGAACACTTCGCAGCAAAACTATCGGCTGCCACTGTGCCTCGTGCTTTTAATTACTCGCACATCAAGGCTGTAATTAAAGGCACTAGCCCAAAGCAGGTATTGCGCAACTGCACCCAAAGCAGTTACACCAAGAGCCAATCGTTTTGTCCGTCGTGGGGGTGTCAATCTCTTTAAATCATCCACGATAGAAAAACACGAAAAACCTTGGACCCAGAGATCCAGGTATGCCCATGATGTACTCGCCCCGGGTGCGGGAGCTTAAGTGGGTCTGAGCTGTGCCAGCCACCCGGGAACGAGGGGAGCCCGCGGTCCAATGGGCGAGCCGTGAGGTGTCCGTGGTCAACCAATCAGGTCTCGGTATGGGCCGTCGAGAAGCTGCTGATGGTGAGGGCGAGAGGACAGGCTATGGACCTGGACTCAACCTGGGGGAAGTATGCCGCGCTGCAGGTTGCGGGGGTCGGCTACAACGTAACAGGGATGTGCGTACAGCGTATACGTTCGGCTTACATATTTTTGCTGACAAACTTCTTTCTCTCTATATCTATCTATCTATCTATCTATATCTATCTATAACGATTAATTTAAAGGTTAGTTTAAAAGTAGCCTTGATTTACTTTTGATCAAACAAATCTACTTGTCCACGAATTGAGAGAGAAAAAAGACAGGTAGCGTACACAAAGAATGTTAATATCACTGAATTCATACTTTGTAATTAGTGTGTTTTCTTGTTCTTCCTTTGTAATTTGTTTGACATAAATTCCACAAGGGAGAGAGAGAGAGAGAGAGAGAGAGAGAGAGAGAGAAAGAGATGGAGAAAATTATAGATAGATAGAGAGAGAGAGGGAGAAAGAGAAAGAGAGAGAGAGATTTTGAAGAGAGAGAGAGACGGAGAAAGAGAAAAAGAGATGGTGAAAGAGAGAGAGATGGGAAAAGAAAAAAGAGAGAGACAGAGACAGAGAGACAGACAGGGAGAGAAACAGAGAGAGAGATTTTGCCATAGAAAGCGATAGATATAATGTTGAAAAGGGAGAAAGAATCGACTGCTATTACTACGTCACTGCTTTCATTTTTTTTCTTTCTTTTCTTTAACAGTTTAACTTCTTTTGTATTTTCACATTAAACT